TATATATATTTAATGGAGGCTTTTAGAATTCTGAATAGTAATGATCAGAAAAGATTTTACAATGGCATACTATAATCAAACTGTCATAAAAACAAGAAAAAGAAATTATTTTGAATCTTTAATAGAAAAGTGCTATTACATTTAAAAGCAATCTCATAATTCTTACCATATTTCTCAGGAACAATAGTATAGTCCATAAAGTGACTGAATGTCATCCTCCAAACTCTGAAAGCAGGCAAATCCCACTCAAGAGCACCATGCTCAGCAAAACTGGTGTTCAGAAGTTAATGAGAAATTAAAGTCTCAGATAATCAGAAACTGAAGGAATGTATGAGCAAACTATCTTTAAAAATTCTACTCAAAGAGCCCTGTATCCAGAAGTGAAAGAAATATAAGCACCATTATTATAGCATTGTATTTTGTAGAATATAAATCTCACTAGAGGGATCTCACCAAAGAAAATCAGAAACATAAGTGAATCCAAATATTATCAATATAAAACTGTCAAACCACAAATTTCTGATGAAATACCAAACAAAAAGTATGTTAAACTTTTAAATAAAGCAAATTAACTGATAATAATACATCTGTATCTTTCAATAACAATTCTAAATGTAAATGGATTAAATTATCTAATTACATATGCTATCTACAGAAATTCACCTCATTAGCAAAGACACACACAGACTGAAAAATGAAAGGATAAACAAAATATTTTCAAACAAATGGACACCTAAAGCAAGCAGAAGTAGCTACAGCTATACCTGACAAAACAAAAATCAAAAGAGTTATAACAGTTGATCAAGGTTACTATATAATGATAAAGATATCAATTAATAAAAGATATATAACAAGTATTAGTCATGTGCACATAATTGGAGCACCTTATTTTATTTTTTAAATCACTAGACATAAATGATCAAAAGAATTTCAATACAATAATAATTTGAAAATTTATATTGTAATAAATTGGAAAACTTAGGAGAAGTGAGTAAATTTCTCTACATGTATGACTTACTAAAATTAAGAACACATAAAGAAATTGAAATAGCAATAATATTTCAACTAAATTGTCCAGGACATAATATATTCAATGTTGACCCTTATAGAACTAGTTTCAATAATTCATAAAGTATTCCAAAAATAGTAAGGGAAATAAGTAATACTAGTAAACTCATGCTATAAAAGCCAATATTAGTCTGGAAGCAAAACAAGATAAGAATACAATAGAAAGAAAAGCTATAAAACAATTTATCAGAATAATACTATCTTAGGCTCATTTCTTGCTGCTATGGTAAGCAAGTTAACATACAAAGAGTTCATTTAGCTCACAATTCCAGGTTACAATTCATCATTGTGGGGATGAGAAGGCACCTGTAATTATTTAAATGATAATGGCCCTACAGGCTCATATAATTGAGTGTTTGGTCCCCAGTTGGTGCAACTGATTTGGAAGGATTAAGGGTTGTGGCCCTGTTGGAGAAGGTGTATCACCTCAAAAAACCACACCATTCTCAGTTAATTTTCTTACTCTGTCTGGTGATTGTGAATCAAATGTGAGCTCCTAGTTACTGCTCCAGCACCAGGCCTGCCCACCTGCTGCTATGATTCCTTCCATGATGGTCATGGACTTTACTACTCTGAACCATAAGCCTAAACAAGCTCTTTGTTCTATAAGCTGTGTTGGGCACAGTATCTTATCATGGCAATAGAATATAACTAAGACAGCATCAAAGTGGCAAAAAATTGAAACAGCATCTCTAAACAATGAATAAATATAAGCAAGGTACTGATCAGCTTGGTTTCACGTTCATTTAGTCTAAGCTACAGTCCAGAAAATGATGCTGACCACATTCAGGGTGTATCTTCCCATCTCATTTACACCAATTAAGAAAATTCCTCAAGTACTATATTGGGTAGTTATGAAGCAACTGGAAAACTTTATCTTGTTCTTAACTTAAGTGGAATTTGAGTTTCTCTCCATACCTATTAAATACAGTACTTGAAGTCTTAGCTTGAGCAATAGGATTCTTTTTTTTGTTTAATCTTTATGTTCCTTTATTGAAGCAAGATTCCTGAAATATACAGTGGTGTATTTACTAAACAGAGTCCTGTGCAGAAATTACACACTATCCATCTAGACAGATTTGGTTACACTTTGCCTATTGATGGAGTAGTTCCATTTATAAAGTTTTATACATCAAAAAGCTTTGAATTTGACCAGGCTGTCCATTAATCATCTCTGAAAAAGTGGCATTTAATTTTAGCTCTATTTTACAGCATTAAAAAGCTTATGTATCAGGTCATCCTGCAAAGTGCGTATCAAAAAATATGAAGTTAGGGAGACAAAGTTTGACATGATGTCATTATGCAGGTCAAACTCGGAAGGTCATGTTGAGCCTCTGTTCTGATAGAAAAGCATCCGGTCCTTTGTGTACACATTGGTTTTATTGTAACAAAGCAACTTGTACACTTCAACATTTAAAATGAGCATCTTTTCCTTCCAGTGAAAACCAAAAAACTAAAAATAAAAAAAAATTAAAAATAAAGTTACAACAGAGAATGTGAACTCCAAATAAACCCCTACAGGTTCTGCTGATTCTCCCATTGAGTGGTAGGGCTCGAGTCATCGTTAGGAGAGAATTTTATTTTAAAAGTGTCATCTTAAACTGCAAGGATGTCTGTTAAACATCACAATTAAACATGCCAAAGGAGAAGCCATGTTGTCACAATGCCCACTTACCCCCCCAGACACCTCAAACCCACCCTTGCTGACCTTCTAACCCCCCCTTTTTTTCTTTTTTTTTCTTTTTATTAAACAAGAGAAAGTAGACAGATACATGTTGGTAAATGCTAACTGTCTGTATTCACATAGACACAGTGTAATCTCTGAGCCCAATATACAGAGAAAGGAAAAAAGCTAGAATTCTATGCACTACTACACAGGGGCCTAGCACCCTCCAGCCTCCAGCAGAGCCAAAGGGGCTGGAGGGCTTTTCTTTTTTCCCACAGAGCACGGTGGTGGTGGTGTTGAATCCACAGTTCAAGACAAGAAAAGATAAAAATGAATGTAGAACAGAGTAGTGGAGATTCTTTTCCCATTGTATTTTGCTCAAGACATTTCCCCAAAAATAAGTTGAGAACCATGGTATTGAGAAGCGAGACCTCAGAAACAGGGCGACTGAGCACAAGAGGGATTGGGGACGGGAGGGAAATGACTGCAACTTGCTCCCAGGGACTGGAGAAATTTAAAAAATAAAAAGAAAATAAAAAAAGAGAGTCGGAATCCATCAGTCTTCTGTGCTAGTCATCCTCGCCTTCATCCTCCTCTCCTTCTTCCCCTTCATCATCATCTTCATCTTCATCTTCTTCCCCTTCATCTCCTTCTTCATCAATATCTTCCAAGCCTTCTTCTTCTTCATCATCATCGTCATCATCTTCTGCCTCTCCCTCTTCATCGTCCATATCAGGAACCAAATAGTACTGCAAGGGGTTTGGCCAAATGTCGTCTTTGATGACCTCTCCTAACTCATCTGCACCTGCATCAGAGTGGTCAGTAAACCAGGTAAAGAAGCTCTCTGGCTCTTCGTGTTGTCTCTTCCTGCTGGCCTTATTCTGTGTTTGACTCGAGCGTTTTGTCAAATCCTTTCCAGATTTCCATTTGATTTCAGTGGACTTTGAGGATGGGTCACCACTCTCATTCAGATGAAATTCTTTGGAGAGAACTTTATTTTCGAAGTAGGGATTTTCATCAAAATAAAAATCTATTCTGTAACCTGATTTAATGTCTTCAAATTCTGTTACTTCAACTCTGGTTAAATAATGCAGAGCCTCTTCGTCTTCCTCCCCAAGCAGTGCAGACACTTGTGGATGGTTGACAAATAACGGTTGGCGGAGTTTGTTATATTTTTGTTCTACTTTTAGTATTTCCTCACTTGCTTGTTCATTAAGTCTGTCTGTTTCATTTTGTACTTCGTCAATGTGTTCAATTGCTTCTTGCTGTTCTTTTTCTCCCTTCGGCAGGCCGGGAGAGGCAGACTTGTCCTCCAGTTTCGGGGATGGAGCCGATTTGGGTTTCTTGGACTGAGGCAGAAGCGCAGATTGCCGTTTTTGGGGCCATGACACGAGGGAAGTGGCTAGAGGCCAGAGGCCAGATGCAGAGAGCAGGAAGAAACTCGCAGGAACTCGAGCAATAGGATTCTTAAAGAGATATTCTATATCCTTAACCATCAAGGAAATGCAAGTAAAAAACTACTTTGAGATTTCATCTTACACCAGAGAGAATAGCCAATTTTAAAAGGTCAATTCAGAACAAAGCGGACAATGAGGACTGCTGAGAAGTCAAGAACAATGGCACTGGGTTTTGATCCTAATGCACATACTGGCTTTGTGGGAGCCTAGGCAGTTTGGATGTTCACCTTACTAGACCTGGAAGGAGGTGGGAGGTCCTTGGTCTTCCCACAGGGTAGGGAACCCTCACTGAGGGAGGGGGACTTGATTGGGGGAGGGGGAGGGAAATGGAAGGCGGTGGCGGGGAGGAGGCAGAAATCTTTAATAAACAAATAAATTAATAAAAAAAATAAAAGGTCAATTCAAAAAATGGCAGCTCATTCTGGCAAAAATGTGGAGTGAGGGGACCACTTATCCATTTTGGTAGAAGTGCAAACTTATATAACTACTATGGGAATCAGCATGGTGGCTGCAAAAGAGTATGGGAATTGATCTACCTTGAGATCCAGCTAAATCACTGTTTGGTATATACCCAAGCAATGCTTCATCTTACCACAGAGACACTTGCTCAACCATGTTCATTTCTGCTCTGTTTATAATAGTCAGAAATTGGAAACTACCTCGCTTTCCCTCAACCAAAGAATGGATGAAGAAACTGAGGTATATTCACACAACATAATATTACTCAGTCGTTTAAAAAAATGAAACTATGAAGTTTTCAGGCAAATGGATAGAACTAGAAAAAATATCATCCTGAGTGAGGTATCCCAGATCAAGAGAGAGAAATATGTTTTGTATTTTTATATGCAGATATTAGCTGTTAAGGTGATGATAACCAAGGTACAATCAATCCATAGAATCACATAGGCATGGTATAGAGTGAGGGACTGAGGAAAGAGAGATCAGATATCTTTAGGAAAGGAAAATGGAATAGATAATTGTGGATGGATAAAGGAAGAGGACTAGAATGAGAGTATCATGCAGGAAAAAGGAATAAGAGAAGAAATACAAGAAGTTACCTGAATTTAAGGGTGGTTTAAAGGGTAGCAATGCATTAGAATCTTCCAAAATATCTACATGTATGAAGGCAATATAAATGAAATCTTCAACTAATGGGGAAAAGAAAGCCACAACTAGACATCTCTTGTCACCAAATGAAGCTTCCAGTATCAGGAATGGATCACATCTAATCACATTGTTGGTTCAGGGAGTCCCATGGGAAGCCCCTAAACAACCCAGGCTATGCCCAAGACTATTGGTTCCTCTCCACAAACTGACAGCAAGGCCCTGCTGCTGAAGATAATATTTGAAAACTAATAGAACATAAAAATTCAAGCTGCTGACTAAATACAGCCTTCACTCCTATGGGCTGCTAATCTTGTACAAGAAACTACTTTGCATGATACCAAATGAAAAGTATAAACACCAACCAAGTCACACATCATTTTCTGCCTGCAAAATATGCTAGTGCAATGGTGGCCTAAAACTTGGAGTAACTAACCAATAACTGATTTGATGTAAGATCCACTCCATAAAATTGAATCCATACTAGACACTTCTTGGATGATCAAGAACATGAAACTATATAGCCCAAGGACCTAGTGGTAAAACAAATACTACTGTCATATTATAGGAGCATAGAAATAAAATGACTCTTAATAAAATTATGATACAGTTATAGGTCAGTGCCTGAGCCATCATCACGAAAATTTCCTGTAGCAGCATATAGAAACAATTACAAACATCCACAAACAGACGATATGCATACAGAGAGTGAGAGACCTGGGAGCACTCTATTTTAAGTGTGATGTTTCCATCAAAATCCTTTCCTCAAAACTCAGGGAACCGTGTTAATGAAGAGATAAAAATGGTGTGGGAGCTGGAGGGGATGGAGGATACTAAGAAAACAAGGTACTTTAAATCAATAGGATCAAAGCAGATATGAAATCAGAGACTGGGGAAGCCTACAGATCCGCATCAGATGGGGTCCTAGAGCTGAAAGAAGTGAACTCAATGCCTGACCCTAGCCCAGAAGCAATTTCCAGTTGATAACCACTTGCAAATGAAACTTTAATGTTCTCCTAGGGAGATATACTAGGGAAACAAACTTCTCCTAATTGTAGACTGCATATGCAGCAGTAGAGGGTCAACAGAAAACAAACTTCATGACTTTTTTGAAAGTTTCATGACTCGTAGTGTCATGTTATGGCATTTATTCCCTTTTTTGTTTGTTTCTTTTTCTTTGTTCTTTTAACTTTTTATTATTTTTATTATGTACTTTTCTCTATCTTTATTCAATAGGTCCCTTGCGCGCGCGCG